CACAATCAACTTGATCTAGTTAGCTCTGTCATTGGATTCAATTTTGACTATCTTCAAATTGTGTAAACAATTGATTTTATCATTCAATAGCAATTTAATTTTCAGCTGACATTACGAATGGGAAACTGAGTATTTTTTATCCACATTTTTCAATCTTTTACTGTCCTCGAATTTATCATGAAAATTTTAACAATCAAAATTGTAGATTGGATCGCATTATTAAGTCCCATAAATACATTGAATTCATTGATGGAACAGCTTTTCATAATTTGAAGGGAATCTGACCGACAAGATCAATATTTGATCTTGCACATTATTACAATTAAAGAAGGATTGATAAACATAGATGACGAGGAAAGGGGAACAGTCAGAGTCACGGTGGACAATTTGCTCCAAAGTAATGATGAGAAGTTAATAAAAAAGGATGATTAGGGAGGAAAAGTGAAAGCTAAATGATTTAGGACAAGATTTAAAGAGTATGGGAATATTGGTAATGAGATGTATAGGAAAAATCATCAGACATATAAGTGTAAAGATTGATGAGAGTGGGCTAATTGGTAGAGAAAAGGACAGAATAGAAAAATCTGTGTTATTGGTGAGCATATTGATTATGAAATGGCTTTCTGTGTATGCATGACCAAGCATTAGTCAAGTCTTCGGGGCAAAGGTTGGGATCCGTAAGTAGCTCGACGAGCGGCATAAGATGAGTAGTAGGGCTGATGGGAGTACCTAGAAGTAGGATTACTCATTGGTGGCATTCCACCGTGAGAAATTTTACTCATCTGATTACCAGGGCCATAAGGGCTGAAATGATTGTTTACAGAAAATCTGTTAGAGCTCATCTCACTTTTTGGCACAGCGTTACTGACATGCAGAGAAACTCCTTTCACAATGTGATCACCACAGATATTCTGAGAAACTTCCGACTCATACGTAACAAAAGCAAAAGCCCGGAATGGTCTTGGAATAAACACATCAGTTATATCACCAAACTTGGAGAAATATTCACGCAAATCTTCAGTTGTAATGTCCTCAGTCAAACGCCCAACAAAAATCTTGCGATCATACTCTGTACTGTAAGCATCACCCTTCGACAACGGAATACGCACATCACACCAACGTCCACCGATATTGTGACGTTTCTGAATAACCTGCTTCTGGGTATCATAGTCACCAAATCTAATAAAGCCAAATCCTTTGGAAAGACCAGTCTCAGGATCTTTTTTAACCTGAGCCATTAAAAGCTCACCAAATTGCTCAAAATACTCTCTCAACTCAGTTTCAGTTGTCTTCCACGGCAAACCAAGCACAATCAGATCAGTACATTTGGTAGGCTTTTTCCTCACACTTGACTCTTCATCAGATACATCATCACTCTTTCTTTTGTTATCACCTAGGAAAGAAAGGAAAGGAGAATAGAGCAAAATGATAACCAACAGTTCTCTATGGGAAACCGGCAGAAAAGGGGGGAAGGCTACCTTTAGGAAACACAACATAGTATACTGAAATCTTTGACCATCCCTTATCTGGAGCTTGAAATTTATTTTCAACCAAACTCACAGCTCTCATCGTCCCAGTCTCCTCATTACGATATCTCAACCCGGAGGCACCGGGAAATTGAGAAGTTAGAGTTGTCAACAGCATGGTTCCATCTTCTTGAATAGGTAATTCAATAGGCTCAGAAGTTTCATTCTCACAAACCTGAACATAGCATGCCATTTTGTTTAAATTAAGTTTTACTTGCGTCAGTAGAACAGTCAATCAAAATAATACACACAAAAAATTAGATGTCGACAAAATTAAATTAAATAAATTATCAAAAATGGCCAAAGAAATGGTTGATAGTGAATGTCAGTTTAAACAATATCCACAATTTTATTGAGCACTGGTTTGTTTTACACTTAGGGTGGGAGAGACTTGCTACAGACTCAGTATGCTGTGAACTACAGCATTTAGTATCTGAATACAGATATTTGGGAGGGGATTGTGGAGGGGAAAATGTATTTGTGGTATTTGAGGAAAGAGCGGTTTATTTGTTTTAATCAAATTTTCTTATTTCTTTGGTAAGTGATGTTTTGGTCAATTATTGCGTGTATGCATGATATTTCTTCCAGTATATCTTGATCATGTTTTGTATCGCCAATGAACTTCCAGTCTGTTCTCCCGTTAGTGATAATCTGCGTTTTCTCGCATGCCATAAGGTAGTGTCTGGTGGTTGCATTCGGTTTCTTTTTTAATGCTGCTAACATCCGTACTTTGGTTGTTAAGTCATTAATGAGGTTGATTGCTTGCGTTATGTTTGTCTTTCCAATCTTGTTGTATAGTTTGATATGGGTATCGAAGTCGAAAAATAGATGAAGGGTATTTGCTTGAGTGTTGTTGCTTCTTAGATAGTTGCTTATTTTTTCATGTAGTGTTTTTGTGAAGCTCATCGTTGATATGAATTCTTGATTTGTTTGTAGCAGTTCTTTATCACTACGTTTGATGTATGTTTCAGATGTTTCCATCCACAGCCATTTGCCTTTGTAGTTATTTAAAATGGAGCTGATATCTTTTACTGTGTTGGATTGTGGGTGCTTGATGAAACGATTGTGTATTAGGAAGGTCACCAAGCCATTGTTAGTTTGCGTTGATATGAGGTAGGCCAAGAGGATTTTTTCGTTTGCCGGCATTTCATCACTGGTCTTGTATCTCATTTCTTCATTATTGTAATGAATTGAGATCGAGCTTTTCCATATATACACCTTTATTGTCGTTCCAATTGTAGTTGTGATCTTTCTTTTGAAGAAGTCCTCAGTTGAGATCATCCTCTTGGGGAATGTTGGAAGAGGTTGTACTATGTTTAGTACTGGCCAGTCATCTAGGGATTCAGAAGTTTTCAGAATTGACTGAATGATATTGGATAACCAGGTTGTTATTGGATTTTTTAGGCCAAATACAAGTGTTGGAATTAATGTGGAACTAAAGATTCTGAGGTCGCATAGATATTTGAGCTTCCAGTTTACACATTTGTCAATTCGCATGATCAGGTCTTTGTAGTTCACGTTTTTGTGAAGACATCGTGATGATATTTTGTAGCACATTTGGCTAGTGAACGCATTTAAGATGATTCTTCGATAAAATACTGGTAGTTTTGATATTACTTTGTTGTATCTCATTAGTTGTTCAGTTGAGTTTCCGATTAGAGTTTTAATCCTCGCTTCACTGAGACTTTTGTCGATGAGTTTCCCGGTCACTGTGTTTTTGCCTTGGGAGTTGTCAAGACCAACACATATTTTAGTTTTGGTTGTGTTGAGTTGGAGATTTAGTAAACTAAGAGTGTATTTTGTCATTTCCAAGATTTCATCGACGTTATCGAGGTCACAGAGAATGTTGATGTCATCTGCGAAGGAGAACACGTGATAGATCGATTTGTAGCTACTTATGATCCTAATTGCGCGATCCAGTGCAAGAATAAAGACGATGGGACCAAGGGAAGAACCTTGAGGGACGCCTTTTTCATCTCTCCTGAAATACACTTTATTGTTGTATTTCGTTCGTAACCACCTATTGTGTACCATTTGTTTAACCATACCAGTTGTTCCAGGTCCTAAGTGATTGTTTAAGATAGTCCATAGGTGATCGAGGAGCACATTATCAAAAGCTTTCGAAACGTCAAGTTGAAGTAGTATTCGTTGTTCTCTAAACTTCTCAGCTAGTCTCGTGTGCATATCTTCATTGTTGTTGTTATGTTGGTATGCATATTGAGTGTTATGTAGTAGAATGCGGTGAGTTACCTCGTGAAGTCTTTTACTGAGTATACGGTCGAAGATCTTCACTACAAAGTTAGGGATTCTTATTGTTCTGAGTTGTTTGTTTGGGTTTTTGGAATAAAACTGGCACCATAGATCTTAATGGTTTGTGGTTACATAACCGATGTTGAAGCATGTTGTGATGAGCTTGATTATATCAGCTTTGTTTTTTGACCAAAACAGGTTCCAATCAGATTTTTAAAACTCATCCGCATATCCACTGGTTTTCCTTGAATCGTTGGGTG